GGTCGAATTGTCGAAGTTTATCCAGGCAAAGATGGACACGTAAGGGTCGCCAAAGTTCAAGTGGGAAAAGAAGAATTCCTTAGAACTATTACCAAGTTATGCCAGCTTGAACTGTCTTGAACGTGCTCAGAGTTGATGATGATGAAGAAGAAGACTTACAGAGATTTCTGGACAGTTTAGCTGTGTTTCACTTGAGGACAGCCCCCCTTATCGTCGGCATGATCGTTGTATTGACATGCTAGGGCATATCAACGAGGGGGAGAATGAACACGGGACAATTGCATTCGTCAGTGTTTACCAATACCTTTGGGCATTATGCAATCCTTTAGTTTTACTTGCCATCGTACATATTTCATATATTAGTTTTTCGTTCAAAAAGTTTGATTTTATAAATCGTGTGGAAAAGAATAAATTTTTTAATCTGGTAAACATGCAGAAGTCTATTGAGAAGAGCTACTTCTTTGAAGAAAAGTTTCTTCTTGCCTTGGTCAAGGACATGCAACATTTTCTTCACAACCACTGTTTTGACATTTTCCTCAGTTCCATATTCTGTGGTGTACACATCGCCAAAAGCAACTTGATCAAGCCGCTTTTTAACGTGCAGAGCGTTACAATCAAAGACTTTTACGTTCGCGATACTTTCCGCTGAAGATTGTTGCTTTTTTAAGAATTGGGGAAGCTTGAAGTGCCAAAAAAACGACATTCTCAACGCAGGGATGCATGTGAAAGTGATAACGTTATTTCCCCGGGAAAATCAAATTCTTGTAGCACATGGTGAATAAATTTCCGAGCCATGCACAGTTGAACTTTGGGCCCTTATATTATAAGGACAGTAAAGCAAAGTAATGAAGTCACCTCATCGTAATTTGCTCATATGCATTTGAAAAATAGCTCAGATGACAGTTTAATTTATGCGCTACAAAAACGAAAGCAATTTAGCCTAGTGTATAGTCTTTCCTGAAGAAAAAAAAAGTTTTAGACCGGTGGGTCTTCGTTTTAGACCGGTGGGTCTTTGTTTTAGACCTGTGAGTCTTCGTCTTAGACCAGTGGGTCTTCGTTTTAGATCAGTGGGTCTTAGGTCTTCGGTCTTCGTTTTTGACACATCCTTAATGAACTGCTATTTTGCATACTTAACTTCAGTATTTGTTTCAATAATTGGAACCCTCTTTAGGTTACTATATATCTTAAGGTGTCTCACACACAATGGATGTCGCGTGTCCGGTTTAATCTGTAGACAATGTACATGTAAACCCCATATCAAATTAAAACATAATAGAAAGGTAGCTATCAAACTATACCAAGGACTTTCAAATAAATTGTCAAATTTTTCTAGACCTTTAAGTGCAAGCATCCAAATCACATTTTGAAAGCTACAAGTCAAAGCGAACTTTGTTTCTTGTTAATTTAATTTGTTTCTCAGTTTCAGGACCCAAAAAAGGACACTTTTAGAACATTAAACCTGGATCAATTGTCTTGCCATGTCATTGAGCATAGCCCAGAACGTCCCAATGTGCAGTTTAGTGTGAAGTATCTAGACAAGAACGTGCCTGTTTCTTCCACTTTTAACACTTTGATAGAACTTCGAGTCAGTAATAGTTCCTGTCAAAGAACAATGATTTTCTGCCAGACTCGTAAACAGTGTGCCTTGTTATATTCAGTTTTTAAGGATAAACTTGGAAATAATTTTTATTTGAACAAAACACCTAATCCCAAAGAGCGAATGATGGAGATGTTTCATTCAGGGACTCCAGAGTCAGTGAAGAAGCACATTCTTGACAATATATCTTGGTGCTATGGGCATATTAGAGTTATCGCATGCACTATTGCCTTTGGAATGGGAGCGAACTGCAAAGGGGTGCATCATGTGGTTCATTTTGGCCGTGCCAAAAATCTTGAATGCTATGTTTGGGAATGTGGAAGAACAAAAAGGGATGGGCAGCCAAGTACATGTCTTTTGCTTCACAATGGACTGCTGTCAGCACATTGTGCACATGACATCAAGGACTACTTGTCCAACGATAAAGAATGCAGGAAAACTTTTGTTTATAGTTATTTTCCAGGAGAATTCTCCTCTACTGTATCAGGTCACCAGTGCTGTGATATTTGTGCAAAGAGCTGCAGGTGTGGGCAAGAAAGCTGCAGTGAGCCTAGTACTTTGTCTTTGGAATCCAATGCTGATGACACATGTACCGTATCCTCTGAAAGTGTCCGATCAGTCAAAAAAATGGATAAAATCAGACTTCGAAGTGAACTTTGCACATTCATGAAAAACTTACTCATACCAAAATACTTCAGGTGCCATAGCATCTGTGAACATTATTCATGAATTCACCTCATTCCATATTCAACAAGTTCTTGACAACTGCGACAAGATCAAAACATTAAGTGACATGGAAGATTTTGTTGAAGTTTGGAGAAAGGTGCATAGCAGAGGAATTCTTGCTGCTATTCACAGGATCTTTGGCAATGTGGATGAGGACGAAATGAAAACACCTGAGTGTGAAGACGAAGAAATGGATGAATATGCGCAGGAATGGACAAACATCAGAGATGATTCTGAATTGTGTAATCTCTTAAATGACAGTGATTTGCAAAATGTAGACATTCACATGGAAGAGATTGACGTGTCAGGTAATGAACGAAGAAACATGAGCAGCATGATTGGAGATTTTTTTAAGTCCTTTTGAACATGATTTAAACATAACAAGGACAAATCTCAGTGTTCTGTATATTTTGACACAGTACATGTACATGTGAATGAAACTTTATTATGCCATCCTTGCAAGTACTTTAAAACATTCTTTGGAGCTTAATGCTCAATCAGGTTTCTGTTTCCCTTCAATTTTCTTTCTTTGCTATGGCTTTGTTTACATGTAATGTAGAAGATTTGTTCACCTGTGAAGGTTCCAACTTAACAAAATTAGTTTCTTAAACTTACTAAGAAAGTGTTAAAATATTTAAAACATTGTAAGGGAAAACAAAATTGTTTTTCTCTCACTGTCCTCTCCCTTAGTCATTTATATGTACAATGTAATGACAATTAATCTTCTATTAAGCAAAACCAACAACGATGTTGTGAAACTGAATTGGCACAATGAACTCGAATGTTCCTTGCGTGCCTTTCTTGCACATACAATGTTCCTCTTGTGCTTATTTATCCATTGAAACATGTCCTGGAGGTCAAATTGTTCATAGCCACACCCCGGGGTCCAATTGAAAGCTTTCTGGGAAACAATCTCAACAGCAATCTTCTGCAAATCAGATGCAATAGAAATTTCATAGTGTTCCCCTGACCGGCGGATTACGCAACACTCTTGATCAAAGTTGTTAAGAGCTACTTTTGTAATGTCAACCGCATGACAGTAGCAGTCAATAGCTTTGTGATTTGTTGCATTAGGTCCAAGCATTCGCTGAACTTCTTTTAGAAGTCTGTTGAAAAATTCAAGAAGTAAATCTAGAGGAATATTGTTCCCCAAACCAGATCTTAACAAAGCAGTTCTGTTCCATATAAGGTCGTCTGAATGCTTAGGAGAAAGCAACCCATAAACTTGGAACATCATTCGTAAGGCCTCTAGAGCATATTTGGTACTCCCTGCATCATTTCTGAGATAATGTAATTGAAATTTCCAGCACCTGAAAATACGTTTCCCATCACCTTCTCTGATAGCATCAAAAAAATTTAAAATCAACATGCCATACTCTAGGAGGGAACATTTGTAATTAAACATGTCATCCTTTTCAGGGACAGGCTTGTCAGACACCCCCTCACTTGAGAAGAGTGACTGTTGAGAATCAGAAGTTCAGATTGGTGGGTTGTGGGTTGATTAATGATCCTGCATTCGCTTGCATTGAATTTGAAAGTTTTTCCACATCCTGGAAAATTGCAAATAAATCTGCCATCATCAGTCTGATTCTTTCTGTTGCTGGCCTCTTCTTCCTCAGCAGCTAAAAGGCTGTTGAAAATGGATTCTACATTTTCTCTTCTGATCACATAACTATCGAAAACACAAGAGGCTACTTTGTGCAAATACTCTTTCTTCTCAATATCGCTAGCCTCAGAGAGGTTTGGCTGACAAAATTCACCTGTTGGGCTGTCAGATAAATTGTTCATCCCAAGTTCATGAACGGCAGATGCTACTAGCCTTGCTTTTGTTTCTAATTCAAAAAATTTTCAACATGGGTTTACAGCAGCATCAACATTTTCCCTGACATTTTGCCTGTTAATCAAGTTTCTGTCACTGTAGAGGGTGCACTTGTCTCCAGCTGACTTGGTATTGTAGAAGTTCTTCAAAGCAACCTTGCAAATTAATGGAAAAACCAAATTATCGTCAAATTTGTAGAAAAAAAAATTAGAATCATGAAGCCTTGTGAAGATGGGCCATAAGTACAAGCCTGTTGCTATAACAAACCTTGGTATTCAATTCATCACAGAGCTTATTGATTGCAGCACATGAAAGACTTTGTACTTGCTGGGGGAGGGAGGGAGGGGGGATTGAAATTGAACTTTTGGTCAGACTTTATTTCTACACTCACAGAGAGATGGTAA